TGAGACAATGAGACAAGGTTATTGCACATTATTTGTTTGAAAACTAAATACTATTGTTGCCTTGAATGTGAGCTACAGTTTTAAATATATTTTTATATTTTATTAAATACTACCTGTACTCCTTCAAAGTGAACTAGTTTTGACATTGAATTGTAGAACATGGTGTATGACCCATATTTGGCACTCTGACCCATGGAGTCAAATCGTCCATCTCCCGACCACTATGCATCCTTAATGCTCTTTATTTTTTCGATCAATGAATATCGATGTCTTTCCCATTGCAGTAAAACCGATGGAATAAGAAACTGCCTTTGATGCCTGAAGAAAGTGCGGATTGTTATTGCTGCCAAACCCATGTGCTTGAACATCAAGAACACTTGGCTGATGTTAATGCCTGAAGTTAAAATCCCAAAACTCATCATTAAATTACCAGCAGGGATGCTTCCAAGCACAAGTGGCTGACTTCTCCACTTTTTTACATTTCTTACATGTCTCTATAACAGTAGCCATTGACCCGGTTAGTTTGATTGTAACTTCCGGACTATCTTCTTTGCAATTGAAACAGAATTGTTGAATTGCATCAGCATTCCAAAAAACACGATAAATTTTGGTTGGTCAACATACTTAGTGCCAAGTTCACATCTGTAAGGCAAATCAAGTTTGTTAGTTTAAAGTTGCTAATGTATTTTAAATTGATAATAGAGAAATACAACATAGTTTTTACTTGCCACGCCAAGAAAAAGTAGTCTGGAAACGAAGGGCTCATTTTATATTAATGGTCAATAAGGAATTATTTTCTTTTGCAGACCTTTAGCACCAAAAATTGAGGCCTAAAATTCCATTTACACACCTAACAGTATTTTGAGAGTTTTCTTTTGACATATCTGTTTCTTCATCTGATGAAAATTCGTCCTCCTCCAGACTTGTCCAGTCTGTGTCATTCTCATTTAATTCATCTTCTTCATTATCATCATCATCATTGTCATCATCACAACCAACAGACAATTCTGAGAATGTTCTCTTTCTTACCAACGTTGTGTCTTCATTCTCATCACTGCTCTGTTGCTCCAAACTTTGGTCTTTGGGCAAGCCCTATTTGAAATCAAATTGAATCAATTTACAGAAAAAGATAATCCCAAAAATACATAAAGAATCATGTAGAAACTAGAAGAGATTTCTAAAAAATGGTAATTTGGGAGACCTTGCATTCCCTGGGAGGTACTCTTTTAAAAACTAATTCCCAAGAGGATCATTATCTAGATTTGCAAATACCTTTTTTCCTCGACCACATTTAAAAAACCAAAATATACAGTGTCAGTATACCTTTTACCTCCACAAATGGTAGCGTTTTCCGAAATATCCCCCTGCTGCCTCCCCCTCCCTCCCCCTCCCTCCCAATTAGTTTCCTTCCGGTTTATGCTAATAGAAGTAAAAGTAGAAAATGATAAAGATACATATTTTTAAAACTTATTTTTGCACTGTAATTTGTGCATGTGCAATTTCTAAATTTCTAAATTATAGATGAAGTTGTACGTACACCACTCCTTAAATCCAACAGTTCTTGGAGATCGTTTTTTCATTTTTTCGCGTAGTATAATTGTTTTTGAAGTTTAACAATTTTCCTCTGCCTGATATGACATTTATCGCAATATTTCATGCAAGCCTGTTCACGATTTTCTGCGTTGTATACTGGTACTGGTTCATCATCTGAGTCGCAATCCGGCTGATATGAGTCTGACAAAAACTCACGGACCTCTCTCTCTTCGTTTTTACTGCTATCTTCGTTATTAATGTTTCGAATTATCTAAAATAAGAGGAAGAATGAAATTTTGTATTTACTTTTTTTATCTTAAATGACTAAGAAAGTTACGTTTGAAATATTTTATTTAATGTACGAAATGTGAACAATAGGCCATCTTACCTGTCTTTTCGCGCCGTCTGGCAGTTTCTCGTCTTTTTTGCTTTCATTTGCAGCATCCACAGTTGGAATAGCATCCGGCTTTAATTTTATCTTCATTCCGAAAGATATCGCCACATCCTGTCGTGTCGTGAAGCAAGAATCTTCGAAATGAACTCCACACAAAATGGCTTGATTTGACTCGGGAGTCCAATTAGGCTGATGCCGGCAAACGAAGGGTATCCATTTACTGAACCTCTCTGGGTATTTATTTTTATCAGGGAAATGGTGTATGGATTGACCGAGTGTGTACTGGCTGTTTCCACAACTAACTCCTACTGGGCCACCCACTACACATCGTTTACTGGTGTCACGTTCGGTGTATGTTCCTTTGGTCGCCATTACGAAAAGACTAACAGCTGATTTTTGTGTCCTACTTATTGCGTCATCAGACCACGTGCTTAATTGAAAAAGTTTGCGTGTCATTCAATAAAACTCTGAACTTTGAAGTGGCGTAAAATCAAAACGGATTAATATTTTTGAATTCTGTTTTTTGCTTTTGATTTCAAATGAACAAAAGTTTCGATTTTGGTAGAAGATTAAGAAATGACGATGAGATGTCTTGTCACCCATGGCACACCAAAAAGGCGACACCCTATAGTCAGGCTTTGAGGATACATAGGATTTGTTCAGACGATCATCAGTTATGGGATAGGTTAGGGGACTTTGCTGGATGGTTAAAGGCAAGGGGGTGTGAGGAATCACTTATAACAGAACAAATAGATAAGGCACGCAAGCAGGATAGGGTCACATTCTTGGATAAGGCTAAAGGGAAACATGATCACAATGGGGGTGGGCGGGTTTCGTTGGTTACCATTTACCATCCAGCCTTGAATAATTTGGGCAAGGTGGCCGGGAGACTTCATTCTATGCTGACGATATCGGAAGAGGATAGGAAGGTGTTTCCTCAGCCACTTTTGATATCATTCAAACGATGTAAGAATCTTAAAGATTTACTAGTTAGGGCTAAACTTTATAATGAGGGGACAGGACCACGCATAATAAGGGTTTTACTCTATGTGGCAATTCTCAATGTCAAGTGTGTAATGATATGTGTGACAGTGATACTTTTACTTTCCATTTAATTGATAAGGAGTATAAGATAAATTTTCAGTTTAAATGTGATTCTTCCAATGTTGTGTATCTTATGGAATGTAAATTATATGGTATACAGTATGTGGTAGCACTTGCACGCCGTTTAGGCTTAGGTTTAATAACTTCAAGGAATGCAATCGTAAGTTTATTGGGGGCTCTTTGGCTATACCTTAGGCTGATTTTTCCGGCATTTTGCAGGGAATGATCTTCATGGGTTTCTCGAAGATATTAAAGTTAATATTATAGATAGACTTAATGGGAATGGTAGGATACATGAAAGTTTCTGGCCCCGGCCTTAATATTAGGTTAGTTGAAACATAGTTTTATATTTATTTCCAATCTCTTGGATTATTTTCTCTTTTTGACAGCTATTTATTATTTCCACACAATAATATTTTCTAATTTTCATGGTAGGGACAGACAGCTCTCACCCTTTCTTGCTGTTGGGCATTTCTGGGTAGTTCACCATCTGCCTTCACGCATCTCTTTTGTTCTTCTATCTAATGTATTTATTACGCTTTTCTCACCTCCAGCTGGGCGTAGAAAGTTTACAGGTGTCCTATAATTAGCTATTATTTTCCTTGCTTGTAAAATGTGTTCTTTTGTTTTGTATTCCTTATTTTACGCTCCGAATGAAAGTGAAGGTTATTCTGAAGAAGCATATTGCAAAATGCTAATCAATTTTTTTTACTGATCATCTATTTCAAAACTTTTAAAAAACATTATAGTCTAGAGCTTTTGAAAACACACATAAATACTTTCAAAAGCTCATGCACCGAGTGTAATAAAAATAATATAGATATTCAGAAAAAACACTATCGCTTAAACGTTTCGACCGAAGTCTTCATCAGTAATACTTTACAAGCACTGAAAAAGGTGATGCTAAAGTAGACGGCAATGCAAGTCTCACGGGGGCCAAAATAATATGCGTAGCAGAAAAGAACACCTGTTAAAGAAGAATAATTGATACGCAGAGAACGTGAAGAAAAAATATAATAAAATGCAAAGAAAAAGCAAAAAATCTCTGTATCAACATGCCTAGTGTTTAAGCCCTTAGGAGAAAAACTGTCTAGCTTATACTGCCAGAAGCTTTGTCGCATCCTACCCCCACCATCCCCTCTGTAAGCCTATCAATACACCAATTCATTTCATAGTCGAGGTCGTCCGACTCAATTGGCGAATGAGGTTCCGGGTGAAAGAGTTTTACGGCGATAGTAATGTTTGGCGTTGGTATATTACTTTTTGAATACTTACTCGTTTATCGTGGCTCATTTGGAACAGCTTTTTTAAAAGCTTAAAAAAGTACAAAACTCCGACATGGTGAACGGAAACTGTTCAGTTGTAGGCTGTACGAACAGTCGTTACACGTTAAAAAAGTTGGAAAGACAAGCCTGTGATGAACATCATGGACAAACCAAGAAGGATTGCCCGCGTAAAGCACCATTTATGTTGCACTGGTTGCCATGTGTACATAAAAAAGAAGAAGAAAGAAGAAAGGAATGGATAAGGTTGGTAAACCGCACAACAAAAAGGACAAATTGGACACCAAGGGCGAATTGGACACCTGGACAAAGTGACATGATTTGTTCCAACCATTTTGTGGATGGAAAACCCACAAAGGAAAATCCTTTACCAACCATAAATCTTGGTCATAACAAGCCCCCCAAAATACCTAGACGCAAGCTTTTAAGAGAAAGTCTTTGCTCAGAAACATTAACAAGTTCTCAAAGTGTTCAAGGAATTGAAGGCTCATTGGATTTTGCAGCTGCCTGTAATGATCATAATTATTGCCAAGATGAAACTTCTGCACCATGTTACTCTTGCCAAGATAAAAACAAAGTTTTGACCTCAATGGCAGATGAAATATCGAATTTAAATAAAAAACAGAACAGCTGGAATGCAATATTGAAAAGTCGAGCAGAAAAATTGATTCACTTTCATTGAAAAAGTCAGAGAAACCACTTTCTGCTGTAATCATAAACTCTGACAAGAGAATGCGTTTCTACACTGGAATCCAAACTGTGGCCATTTTCAATATATTGTTTTCACTTATAAAGCCATCACTCCAAAAAATTCATTATTGGAGAGGAAGAGTTTTGTCCACAGAAAGACAAAAAATAATCAAGCAAAGGCAAAACAAATTGTGTGGCAAAGACCAGCTGCTATTAGTTCTTGTAAGATTGAGACTTGGTGTATTAAATCAAGATCTGGCAGACAGATTTCATAATTCAGAAGGAACATGCTCCATTATGTTTTCCACTTGGATTAAATTTTAAAACAAGGTTCTGGGAAATGCACTCATAGTTTGGTAACCAAAAGACATCATTCTTGAAAATTTACCTGACATATTTAAGAAGACGAATAAAAACACCAGATGTGTAATTGATTGTTCTGAAGTCTACATTGAAAGACCAAAATCCTTAGATGTTCAAGCGTGCACTTGGTCAGAGTACAAAAAGCACAACACATTCAAGTTTTTAATAGCTGTGTCGCCAGCAGGCTATATAATGTTTATTTCAGATTGTTATGGAGGAAGGACAAATGACCAATACATTTGCCAAAACAGTTGTTTTTATAATTTACTTGAATATGGTTGACAAAGTTATGGCAGGTAGGGGCTTTCAAATTAGAGAAGATTTGTTGCACCATTATTGTTCCTTGAATGTCCCACCTGGTGCCCGAGTGAAGTCACAGATGACATCAGCAGAATTCTACAAAACCAAAGAGATGGCAAATTTATGAATTCATGTGGAGCGTGCCATCAACAGATTAAAAACATTTCGAATTTTGGAAAATATTTTTCCCATAACAATGTTACCATTGGCTGATGATATTATTAGAGTTTGTGCAACCATTTGCAACATACAGCCACCATTAATCCGTGAAAAAAGTATATGTAAAGTAATGAATTTTTTGTTATTATTTTTGAGGTTACAGTGGCAAAAACTTTGAGCATATTGTATGAAAATAAATCTTCAAAATAAAGTCCCAGTTGTTTTTCAAAAATGAACCTGCACCCCTAGCTATGTGCCTCATTTTGTGCTACTACTACAGCTCCAAGGAGTGTGCGTTATTTCAAGGAGGGTGAATATATTACAATGCTACTCTTTAAATAATGAAGGAACATAAAACTTAAGATAAAATTCTGAAAAATTATCCTTCAGTCCCATCCAAAGATCTTTGTCAAAGCTTAATATTTGTGCAAAAACACCATTGGGGGTCTAAACATTAAAGTGGCATTTATGGATTTCAGAAGCAGCCATCTGGACTTGGCACTGTGTGTAATACTTGTGACTGGGTTTGAGACTTGTTATATTAGCATCTTTATTCAAGTATGGCAATGTAACACTAGCATCCAAAGGTGATTTGTCTCTGATAGAATATGGGCACTTGACCTCTAAGCAAGATTTTCCACAACACAGGCAATCAGGATTATTCTGTCTGGGCTGCCACCAACGAAAGGAACATCTTTGCATACAAAAAATGCCGCATTCATGAACTGTAACACATTTGTGGGTTTTTTTATATTCAGCAATAAATGTGTTTACAGCCTCAGTTTCCATTGCACGTTCATATTTTAGTGCAGGCAATTCCGGATTTACATGCTTATTGCCAGATATACTTTTAAAAATTGCCTCAAAATTGATTGAATCTTCATCTTTATTGCATGACTCTCTTTGTGTTTGCATTTGTGTTTTGACACTATGTGCCTTTGAAGCGCTGATAACATGTTTTCGGACTGCAAACCATAATGGGTTGTCACTCTGCCTTCTTGTTGCAATTTCAATTCGTGTACGATTTGATGGAAAGTATTCTATTTTCATTAAAAATTCTTCACTGGATTCTGATTCTAATAAAAATTTATCTAAGGTGTATAATTATTCCTCTATAATTGCATGTGCAGTGGTATTCTGTTCAACCCTGTTTACAGCAGAGAATACAATTGATTGACTTCTGTTACACACTGTTGATAATGCATTTGCAATCTCATTCAAGGTGAGATTTGATTCTTCTTCACCCAATGCATCAAACCTTTTCTTTGGTGAACAATTTAAGCCTAGCGCACACAGCAGATATTTGTCGCAAAAGACGAAGATTTTTGTCTTTTTCATAAAAACTGATTGCCCGCACACAGCACGATTTTTTTCGGATTAGTGCCTCGATTAAGTTTTGTGACCTCTTTTTCACATTGTTTGAACTTCTTGGCGCGTAAAATAAAATTCCAAACACGAATAAAATTGCTCAAGAAACTGACAAAGGTTATGAATTTGACAAAAAAGAAAGCACTGTTGGCTATTATCCTTTTAATAAGACGAAGAAGGAGGCGAATTGCGAGACGAATGTGGGTGAAATCCTGGATTGAGCGTAGAAATGAGCTGGGAGCATATCAGAATCTTGTTCAGGAGTTAGCATCGGAGGATAAACCTATGTACCAACGCTATTTTCGTCTCAACGAAGACCTTTTCAAATCTCTTCTTGCCAAAGTAAGACCAATGATTCAAAGAAAAGACACTCACATGCGAAAATCAATTAGTGCAGCAGAAAGACTTGCAGTCACACTACGATACTTAGCAACAGGTGAGATTTCACAATAGTCTGCCAGCTTGATTCAAAGAGAAAATATAGGATACAAATGAGAAAAGTAAAAATATATTTGTGAATAATAAAAATAACTTTAAATATTCTAAATGTTTCTTCTACAGAGTTCGTAGCAATACTTAATAACAATAATGACAATACTTCTTACTAATTGATATCTTTCACAAACCATTTCACCTTTAATGCCAATCATAATGAGCATTTTGAATTGAGTATCATCAAAATGAATGCAATCATAAATCTGATAATCTTACATGGAGAAATTGAGGTAATCATATCATTTTAGATATTGATTGGTATAATAAGATGTTGCATATCTTTACAGGAGAGTCATTTCACAGCCTGGGATTTTCATATAGACTTGGAGAAAGAACAATTTCATCAATAGTGACAGAAACTTGTGATGCAATTTATCAGAATCTTAAGGATAGATATCTTAAGGTACATAACATTTTTTGTTTTCTACTTTTTGGTTTTCAATACAATATTTAATGTGCTAATTAAAACCAACTCACATAACATTGAAGAGTGCAGTGAAAGCAATATACTGTATGAATTTTAAAGATTAGAATTGTCCGTACGATGGCCCTTCACTCATATCTTGCTGGTCAAGTGACTGCCTGAAAGACTGCATTCTAGCATGTTGACCAGCATGATATGGGTTGTTGAATTCATTCGAGAAAGAGCCCATCTGTGCCTGAAAAAGAGCATTTTGAATGTTGTTCATTGCAACAAGTCTTGTTTTCTCATCCATCACAGACAAAGCATGTGTAACGTATTCCCCAAAGGCAGCTGAAGGGCTTGGCTTTGCATCCTTTTTTGCAGCTAAATTTTCATCTGCAGAGAAAGATGAAGCAAGAGGCTTCAGAATGGAGAGTTCTTCCTCTTCCTTTTTCTGCTTTGCAGTTTTGGATTTTTTAACAGCAGCCAGTGGCCTGCTTGTTGAAACTGGTGTCTCTGCAGCAGGGGCATCATTGTCGTCCAAGTCTCCATCACAGTCACTGTCACCAGTGTTAAGCTGTGGCTCAGATAAACTTTCAGTTGAAGACTAAAATTTAATATTTTTGTATTTTAGATTCCAAGCACATCTCATCAATGGAAAACAATCAGTGATGGTTTCTACAATTTATGGGACTATCCTTTTTGTGTTGGTGCATTAGATGGCAAACACATTGCAATCAAACAACCAAAAATGTCTGGATCAGAGTACTTCAACTACAAGGGATATTTCAGCATAGTCCTTCTAGCATTGGCAAGTTATGACTACAAATTGATATTTGTTGATGTTGGTGCAAGTGGAAGAAATGGTGATGCTGGACTTTTTGAAACATCGCCTCTAAATCAACAGATGAAAGACAAATCAATTGCCTTTCCAGAAGCTGAGCAATTTGGGGAAACATGCATCAAATGTCATTATCATATCATTGGTGATGATGCATTTCCCTTGAGAAATGATATCATGAAACCATTCCCATTTAGACAACTGTTACATGAACAGCACATTTTCAACTACAGGCTTTCTAGAGCACGACGGGTTGTCGAAAACGCTTTTGGTATCATGGCTAATAGGTTCAGGGTGATGCTGACAAAGATTATGTTGGAGCCTGAAAAGGCTAAGCAAATTGTGCTGGCAATTTGTTGTCTGCACAACATGCTGATTGATGAGCAGCCTTCATATAAAAATGCATGTGACAGTGAAAGAGACAACCATGAGCTTTTTCAAGGCAGCTGGAGATTAGACAAATCTCTAACTGAGTTACAGAAGACAAAAAACAGAAACTGTTCATTAAGTGCTAAGGGTCAGCGTGAGCTTTTGAAACAATATTTTTCCTCAACATCTGGATCAGTATCATGGCAAGATAGTATGGTTGCAACAAAAAATAATGAACTCAACTAGCTAGTGTTGTATTGTACCTGCAAATTAGAAATAGACACTCTGTTGGATACATATGGGCTTAAAAATTGAAGGCGGTCTTCTATCCATTGAGTCTTCTTCGTCTTTTTTGGTCGTGCACTTCCACTGCTTGGGATTCTGCGGGAGCGTGCATATTGCGTGCGCAGAGATGCGATTCTTTTTTTCACTTGATTCACTAGAATGAATAAAACATGAATTCGTACAGCAATGTTTCACTTCAAATTGAGTAGGCCTAAGAAAAGAGGACTAGCCTAGCTAGCTAGTCAAAATTATTCACTCACCGTTTGAAGAAAGTTTAGTTGCAATTTCGTTCAGGGCT